CGCGCCGACGTGTAGGCAGCCCACGGCGCCGCGAGGGGAAAGCGCCGCACGGCCGCCGCTCTTGGCTGCGCCCCGTCTCGGGGACCGTCGCGACCGTGGGCGTCAATGCCGGCACCCACGGCGCGCCCAGGGACGCCCAAGGGCTGCGCCTTTGGGCTGCCGCGCCCCCTCATAACCTTCCAACGACGGATGGCCAGAGATTTGCAGTCACGGTTCGAGCGCGCCGGGCGTGCCTGGCCAATCAGCGGCCGTCGGCGCCCTCGGCGCCCTCGGCCATTTCGGACCCTCGGACGCTCGGCTCCCTCGGACGAGGGGAAAATCCCTCAGCCGAGGGCGTCGGACGAGGGGGCGGCGCCCTCGTCCCGAGGGCGCCGAGGGCGCCGAGGGCGCCACCGACCCCCCTCAATGTGCGTGCTCGTGGCGTGCGGGCGCTACACGGCGAAGCTGCGCGTGGCCTAGAGGCGCTTCTTCCTCATCGGCACGGCGGGCGCGGTCCAGCGAGGGTTTGGGTGCTGCCGCTCAGTGGTCGGTGGGCTCGGAGGCTGCCTTCGGACGAGCCATCCTGCACTGGGCGGGAAAAGCGTCGGTGAGCTGCCAGTCCAGGGCTAGCGCCTGGCGCTTGGAGGCTGCCCAGACGCCTAGATCAAACGCTGAGCACGGCCATACTGGGCGGCAACAAGAGCTCAATGTGCTCTCAAGGTGCCTTTCGCATCCATCCATCGACGCCTCCGTGCGCGACACGCAGAGGCTGCGTCGCGTCGCGGCCCGACGGCTCGGCCGTTGCGCGCCGCGGCGCCATGGACTTTTACCGCAAGGTGCCCGACGAGCTCAAGGAGGCGTCGCGGACGGGCGGGCTCCTGTCGCTCTGCGCCTGCGGCGTCGTCGCCCTCACGCTCGTCACGGAGATCGGCGCCTTCCTGCGCACGGAGGTGCGCACGAAGATCGACGTCGACACGTTCGCCGGGTCGCAGCTCCGCGTGAACTTCAACCTGTCGTTCCCGCACCTGCACTGCGACTACGCGTCCGTGGACCTCTGGGACAAGATCGGGCGGAACCAGGCGAACGTGACCCAGAACATCGAGAAGTGGCAGCTCGACGAGGACGGCGTGAAGCGCATGTACCAGGGGCGGAACCGCCGCGCGTTCGACATCGACCACGACGTGCACCACCCGCCCATCGAGGAGATGCACGCGAACGGCGTCCACGTCTGGCACGTGAACGCCGACGAGTGGGAGGGGCTCCACGAGCACCACGAGTACGTCTTCGTCGACTTCTACGCGCCGTGGTGCCTCTACTGCCAGTCGCTCCGGTCGACGTGGGAGGCGCTCGCCGAGGAGCTCGAGAAGCGCGACCTCGGCGTGGCCGTCGCCGCCGTGGACTGCGTCGACAACGAGGCGTTCTGCCACGACATGAAGGTCCAGACGTTCCCGACGCTCCGCTTCTACCACCACGGCGAGCAGGTCAACGAGGGCGAGTACCGCTTCGACCGCACGGTCGCCGCGCTGACGGACTTCGTGACGCGCAAGCTCGAGTCGGAGAACATCTACCGCCAGTACCCGGAGGCGCGCGTCGCGCACGCGGCGAACTGGAACACGGACCACCCGGGCTGCCTCGTGTCGGGCTTCCTCCTCGTGAACCGCGTGCCGGGCAATTTCCACGTCATGGCCCACAGCAGGCACCACAGCCTCAACACGCTGCGGACGAACCTGAGCCACACGGTGCACCACCTCAGCTTCGGCGTGCCCCTCACGGACGCGCAGCACCGCAAGCTCGCGACCATCGACGTGCGCCAC